TGGAAGAAGTTAATATGGCAACGTGAACATGGGAGTAAATACCGTATACGTCGATCTATGGCTTGTTTAAAACCGTAATAAACGAAGAAAGACGTGATTTGAGAATGAAATGTAAGTTGAAATTAACTTTATATGCCTCAAATTTTTCATCCTATGTTTCTTAATGTAACTTCAGCTGTCTAAGTTCAAAATACAAGCTCGCGAAATTTGACAAATTTTGAAAATATGTAAAAATAGCTTGACTTTGAATTGTATTTTCTCAAAAATAGCCCGTGGCCTCAATTTCAAATATAGCTAAATGAAAAGAAAAAACTTTTCGGCGTTTGTAGGTATCAAACATATCGTCAGGAAAATAGGGGCTCACAATGTTTTAGCTGAGTCTTTGAGACCCAGTTGCTTCGCACGTGTTGTGATCAAATTTTTGCCAAGAATCAAAGGCCGAAATGTGAACTTCCTTCATGAAAACCGTTTCGAGAAGAGTCTAGTTTGAAAATTTAAATATTAATTTCGATTTCATGAGCATATTTTGGTTACACGTTAAATATTTTTGTACTTGATGCATGAGATTCAAAATTTGTTCAAAATTCAAGCCCGGCTTTAGTGTAATTTTGGTGATGACCGGAACAGAAATACAGATATTTTAAAAACTGGCCGTGGCCTCACGATAAAACTTTCTAAAAATGTTCTCTGTTTCATGTATTTTTATTTGATATCTTAGGTATAAGCGTAAAAATAGGGGCTCATACAGTTTACCAGGTTGTAAAATGCAAGCTTGCCTCTATTTTCATGTAAACATTCGAAATTTTTCGACAGCAAAGTAGCAACTGTTTCAGATCGAATGCATATGGACAGCCCAGCAGAGACAATGGCAGGGTACTGAAATAGAACGTCACTAAAAAACTCTGTATGATTAATTTAGATCATGTCCATTTTCAACATAAAACAGTAATTTATTTTGTACAAACATTTGGCAATATTTACACGATTGTGCCTTTTGGTAAACACGCGTTGCGTGTATGCCACGCAATTGCGTGTATTCCACGCAATTGCGTGTATTCCACGCAATTGCGTGGCTCATTTTGCTCGCGCATGCTCAGACAAATTTCCCACCTGTTGCGCAGGTGTTTGTTTGCAGCAGGTGGTGAGAATAAGCTGTTTATGAAAAGTAGGCACAGTTATTTAAGAACTTCAAAAGAAACTGTACAATTTTCTGTTTAATATTTCCACTACAAAAGTTTTATACTCAGGTAAATAATACATTTTGCTACCTTTATCCCATCTAATAATGGTAAGTTCGGATCAAATTATGATGAGAGCGGATGCATGAGAATTGGCAATCAGCCAGGCACGCGATCTTGGTTAGCTGTTCTCAAAATAAAAACATAATTCAGTATAGAACACTCATCAAATAGTTATACTTTGTGAAATGTCCCTGTAACAATGCGTGATTGCAACTCTCATCAACTCGGCTGAATATTTTTGCAACAATGTTTCTGTGTCAGCTATAACAGAACATGATTTTACGCTTGGTTGGCACGGCGGAAATTTTATTTATGTTATGTTGCTATAGTTTTAACTCAAATTTATGTTATTTATTAGTTTGGTTTTAGAAATGTTTCTATCATTTACAGCAACAGCATGGATTGTAAAATAACTGGATAGGAAACTTCCTGACGTCACAGTCTAAACCTAGTTGCAATCTGTGACGTCACGCGTATTGCCAAAGTTCTCAGCATTTTTGTTGTTTCGCTATA